ATATTTACACCATCCCTTTAGAATATTCTTGGCTCTTCGCAACTCGTTCCTCATCATCATAAAAAAATATATTTATTTTTAAATGATTATATGATATTCTTATGTTATAACATGCATTATACCTATCTATTATTATGATTATAGTTAACAAAGAATTATACTGCAAAATAAAAATGTCTCTATACATTAAGAAGAAAAACAATTTTAATCTCTTTTATTTTGCCGGGAAGCAGACTAACTTCTTTTCTTATAAAGTATATAATGTATTGATTGTTTTATTAAAAAATTTGTGCAATATTTCCATTTCTGTATATAAATCAATCTTTTTTTTATGAAATGTTATATTTTAATTAAAAAAAATTAAAGGGTAATAAAAATTTGGTGGCTGCTTGTATGTTAATTAAATTAACCTTATTTTTAAAAAAAAGAAGAAGAGAATCTTTTTTAAGCATCACAGTAAGAATCTAAAAAGAAGGAAATTTATTGAAAATAATGCCCTCAGGAATAGGTCAAATTATATGATTTATATATAAAGATAAAAGTTTGAAATCCAATCTTGAAAAAATCTCCTTTAGAGTTTAACAAAAACGAAATTAGACATTCTGCCCTAAAACAAACATTTAACGGAAAGTATTCCTCTTTCTCACGTCATCATTCGTCGTATTCAGATTCGGCGTTATACCTAAAATGAAAGCTTCCTAAAATGACCTCTAAAGGGCAAGTAAGGGAGACAGGAAGTTAGATGAGAGGAGGGTGTTGATCGGCCCCCTGTGCCTTATTCATAAATTAATTATAGTGATTGTAATTTTTAAATTTTAGTTTTGATATTTAAATATATATAGCTACCGTTTAAGGTCTCTTACATCTTATTTGAATCTAAATTTGTATTTATAAAAAGTTTTAGTAAAAAAAATAAAAAAGTATAATAATATAAATTATTACATATTTTATCATATATCAAATTTCCTCATTCAGAGACCTCTAAATTATACGTTAAATGGAGTATGTTTAGAGAATTCTAACTTCCCTATGGCAACGACGATATTATACTTCCATTTAAAATTTTATCCCCTATTCCCTAATTTACCCCTCCCCCCTCCTACGCAATAAAATAAAATTCAAATTAACAAAAAAAGAATCCAAAGCAAAAGTACTCCTGATAGCCTTTTCATTACTACCTATCTCCTCCAATTTCAATACCCCCCCCTCCGTATTTAACACAGTCTAGCCTTATTCAACCCGGGATATGGCTAAAATTACGTAAGGTGCCTACTGTTATAAAGCTGTATCTAATATATAAAATATATTTTCACTATTGAAGAGTGACCTGATGGTTATAAGTTAAACGAATAAAATTAGTAGATATGATTTAAATTTAATAAAAAATTTTTTATAAAGTTAAGTAGCTCACTATAACTTTTACCACCGAAGGGCAAAATCATTATTAAATTTAAAGGAAGTTGTAGTACAGATTTGGATTTCCCTCCTTCTTTTCTTGCTGGATTTCCTCTTTCTTTTTGCTAATTTTGATTTTAATATCCTTTTTTGTCCCATTTTGTTTTGTTAGGAGGTAGAGAGTAAGAATGGGGGGTATGATGGAATTGGGAATAAATCGTCATTGGCTTAAGCGGGGGGGGGGCGGAAATCCCTGGTTCACCACCCCGATCCTCCTCATGTTTTGACCATATTACAAAGAAATTAGGATAAGATCATATTTCATTAAAATTATGGGCAAGGTAAGGGAGGGGATCCCTGTGAAGACATTTGTTCCTTTTTTGAAAATTTAATGTATTACAATAGCGTCAATTATTTTAATTAACTAATTTGAATGATTTTAGCAGGTATTCAAAATTATCAATTATAAATCCTCTAAATACTATATGTATATTCTAGTCAAAATAGTTATTAATTATCGTCATAACTTTTAAATGAAAATGATATAATCCTTAAAAGAGTTTGCAAGTCATATCAATTGGCCTAGTAATTAAGATATATATTACTGTTTGAAATAAATGTAACATATTAGTGCTATGGTTAGGTATGCGACACTGCATGCGGTTTCACTCAGAACCTCTGAATTTAATCTAGGCATATTAGCTTCTCTAAATATAAAAAAAATCGACTCTATTCACATCCCCCCCCTCACCATGATAAGAGAAGCCATCACGTTATATCCATATCATTACTTAGCTGTGTTTCTTTTTACCATATTGGAATGATTATTCCATTTAAGAAAAGAAATATATATATATAATTCGCATTATCGCTCACAGATATCATCCGAAACTAGAGATATCGACCTTGATTGCTTTGTGTAATTGACAAAAAAGGAATTAAGTATTTATAGACACTCCAAACTTTATTGCATATTTTGGATAGTCTTCCCCCCTCCTTCCTTCTCACCAAAATATTCCCTCGACCCCTCTCCTATTTCTATAAAATTTAGCTGGGCTCTCCCGCACGGGTTGTGGTCGTGTCTATTATGCCTCTGATTGCTAAGGACAGTCTAACACTTGCTTAGCACGCGTAGAATTTGTTTTAGAACGCATAAAATATTTTATTTATATTATAAGCATAATATTTATTAAGCATGGCCAAATCAATTTTGTTTTCCTTAGCACAGTTATGCCTAAATAATAAAGGCTATCGATGTTATTGTATAATAAAAATAATGTAGGATTTTTTTTTATTACTAAATAAGATCTATTTATTTTATTTCTATTTGATTCTAATATAATCCAAACTAAATTTCTTTGCTGTACTTTTACGGAGTTTTGTTCCATCGCAAATTCGCGCTCACAGTATATGAGGGGTAAGACGTATTTATCTCGTTATTTTGTGACACGTATCAGCACTATTTAACAGCTACTTATTAACCATTATTATGCACTTGATAAATATTCGTATAAATTTTTTTTAAATAAAATTTAAAAAAATTTTTTTTTTCTTTATGAAATTATGTATTATCTAAAATAAAATTTCTGCACATTTGTTAATCAATCATCATTTTAAAAATTGTATAATAAAAATTTTACCGAGAACAAAATATTATAAAAATAATATAAATAAAATGTTTCATCTTATAAAATCTTCTACCCACTCCACTTATTGAATATATGGCTTATAGGAATTTATTTTTTAAAGTGAGATGTTTTGAATTTAAAAAAAAATATCTTTCACTAATAAGCTATATTATTATAATGGATATACACAAGTTCATATATTCTCGTATAAATTTATTGTGTACTCCTTATCTTAAAAAAAATATGATTCTAAAAAAAAATTGAGAATTGAGCTATGTATAGTGAATATATAGTTTTTACTTATATTAGTATAATTAGGGAATTACTATATTATACATATAATACTACCATATTTTTTTAGATTTAAATATAAGCATAATATACCACTACTACAATACATAATGTGAGTGGATATAGAATATTTTTTTTAGATAACAAAAGAGGAATGGTTTGTTATGAAAATTAGTATTATAGGAATAGATAGAAAGAAATAAGGATGCAAAATTTATTACCTCATTTGTTAAAGTGTATAATAAACTCTTGTCTTAACTTAAAAAGATAGTTATAGTAATAAGATGGATTACTTATTTTTTATATATCTTTTATATTTCATTTCTTATACATATAAATCATCATGCTAATAAATTTATATAATATTTTTTTTCCATTCCATCCATCTACCATAATCTTTTATACTTTATATTTATTTTTATATTATACATTATTTACATTTATGTTTTTTTTTAAATATATACTTTTTATAAAATTAGGCATCTGTAAATGTTATTATTGCAACAAATTTATATTTTTTAACAAATCGAATCGGATGAAAAGAGAGAAGAGTGATGGAGAGACTGGAGCAAAAAGAGTGGATTATAAAAATTATGATTCAAGTGCATATTATAATAAATCACCTAATTTACAAATTATATATTAACAAAAAAAATATAGATGAATGGGTTAGGGATGGTATGTAATAAAATTTTAAGAAAAGTAAGGTTTTATTAATATATTTACTTTCAAACATAAAATATTTACACATAAAAATTAATTTGTCAAAAGGGAAAAAAATGTGTTATTTCTTAATAAGTTTAATTAATAAAGATTAATTATGCAAGTGGATGATATATTGTAGTGTGTAAATTTTTTTTACAGATAAATCATTAAATTGTAACAACTTTATATATTTGTATCAATTATAAAGTACTAGCTTTAGGTGAAACGAATTAACACATCCCTGTATCCAATGTGCACCGGTCCCTCTAGTGTTGTTAAACGGCTCGTTTAGAGCCGATTTTTAAAAACGGCTAATTCAATATTTCATCCAGAATAATACTACGAAAGACCTGAAGATTTTGTTTGTGTAGGAACAAAGGTTTGGGCATCTATTAAAAAAATCTCAAGACTTAGGCAATATTTTCCTGGCTAAAATATTGAGTTAGCCGTTTTTAAAAATCGGCTCAAAACGAACCGTTTAACAACACTAGGTCCCTCTATTTATTAAAAAATATGATTTTAAATTCACAGCGAACTGCATCGACTTTATTTCAAGATATATAAATGATCAAACATCAGTCCGGGACAGGGCGTAGTCTCGTTCAAAATTAGCATCCTTTCTTACAGGTCCAATTTAAGGTTATAGATAGAATATTCAGAAGAGGAAGAAAATAAGCAGAATGATTATAACTTCAATATTTTTTTAGGTTGAATCTTTTACAAAGTTCGAATTGATTTGGGGATAATTTATTTTTAAATCTCTCTTTAAATTAATCTATTCGATTTGATTGTCTCCTAATCTGCTTTGTATCTTAATTTGCTATTTTATTATTGAACGGTATTTTATCAATTTTTAACTAGCGTAACCATAACGTCTAATTTAATATTCGTATCTCCTATTTATATACGTAAATCTTAGATGTGAAAATTTGAGATAGTGTTTATTACAATTTGAACATAGAATATAGCGTAATAAGGAGAGAAAGATTGTTATCATCTATTGCAAGAAGTGACTACTCGTTTGCTCTGAACGGGACTTTGATCCTAAAGATATTGGTCCATTATGGGTTAGTATAAAGAAATAATTTATCAAAATTTTAAATTCCCTAATTGATCCGATTTAATTTGTATCATTAACCCTAATTCAATAACATAAGTTGCTAGGACAAAATTTTGATTTTAACATTTCATCACTCATATAGTGCAATTTTTAAAATATACGTTCCTTTTATTGTTATTAAAAAATGAGCAAGAAACTTTTGATTAAATTTCATTCATAGTTTAAAAAATGAAAATAATTTCCAGGTCTATTAGACCCATGTTTGACATCAAAGTTATTTTCATGATTTTTGAGAGAAATTGTAGATTTGTAACGAAATTCTATTGAGAAAAAAAAATAGAGATGATGCTTATAAATCTTTTTTTGCACTAATAAATACAACTCTTGAAAATTCTTGTAATGTATAAAACAAATCCCGGAAAATAAACCCCAGGAAAAAAAACCCCGGAAAAAAACCCCCAAGAAAAAAAACTTCCAGGAAAAAAACCCCCGGAAAAACCCCTGGAAAAAAAACCTCCGGAAAAACCCCTGGAAAAAAACCCCCGGAAAAAAACCCCGAAATTTCTTTTCGAATTTACTTAAGATCTAATAATATCTTATTTGGATTTAATAAGGTATACACAAATTAGTATTTTAGAAAAAAATATTATTATACATAATAATGATTTATCAATAAAATAAACAGATCTTATTGCAAATTTTGTCAAATTTAGTCTACTTAACATAGTAATTAAGGATGGATATTGTATTTATTACTATAGCAAAAATTTTTACGAAAATAAGTAATACATGGGTTATTTTACTGGGATATTTCCCCAGTACCAATTTGAACATCAGCATTTTTTCTTGTTTAAGCACTGCGATTTTGTTTTCGGTGTCCAACTACCTACACGCCACCGTTCAAGTTTGGTTTCATCGACAGCCACCTCGCATTTCATTTTTTTAATCAATACTCAGATTGATGGGTGTTTATTCCTAACCAGATTAGAAAAACAATGATTCGAACCTTCGCATTGATTATTTATGAGTTATTCGTTAGATAGAGTGCTCTGATTCAAGTTTCTGGAGAAAATCAAGGCCCAATTTGACCTGTCTGGGATTGAGAATTGCTTCTTTTAACCTCCCTTGATACTCCATTGATGTAATTTTTATCGAAATATTCAAGAATATCCTTATCATTGCTCGGAGTAACCGATTTAAGGAATGCCATTGCATTGCCCATATCACATAAAGGAACAAATGCTAAACCGTCCATTATGCCACAAAAGAAGCTTAGGGCTTCATCGATTCTGTATTGGCTTTCCAGACCTAGCTTTTGAATTTTTCTATGGGTACTTTGACACAAATGGTAAAAGCATCTTCTGATTATGATGTGATCCCCTAATTGAAAAAATAAATATAAATAATTTAACATATTAATAATCATACAATGACAGTTTTAACCGCGCTCATAGCAGACTTTTTTAAATCCATGTATATATATAATGGATCAGGAAATAAATCCCGTTCTTGACATTTAAACATTATTACTTCGAATATTTTTTCGTAAGTATTTTGTGTTTTTTTTTGGAGTTTAATAGCTGTTAATGATTGTGGCATTAGCTTATAAAATTATTCATCAATATTAATTACTGTTAGGTTATACTAAAAAAATTAAGTGAAAATTGAGAAGAAAAAAATTGAGAAAAGGTCAGAAAAATTAAGATTAACAATGACTTAAAGCAAAAATGGGAAGAAAATAATAATTTGAGAAAAAAAATTAAGAAAAATTGACAAAAAAATTTTTTTAAAAATAACTATTTTCTTTTTTTTAAATTTTTTTCCATGAGGTTTTTTTTCCTTGGGGTTTTTTCCGGGGTTTTTTTTTCCTATTACCGTATAAAACAATAGCTATGAAAACGGTCAATATCCAATTTCATGACATAATTTTGGCTTAATTCCATCTGAAAAATTGCATAACTTAGAAGCGAAGTATTCTTTTTATAATCGAAAATAACCAATGCATGAAAACGGATTATAATAAAAGAACACTTGAAAAATCAGTTCCCCACAATTTTTAAGTTGCCACTTTAAGACAAGATGTATGTCAATTTTTCGTCACCCATAGGCGTAGCCAGGGAGAGTCAAAGGAAAATTTCTTCACCCTTTGGAAATTTGCTTGTTCTCGTAAATATCATTTTATGATAATATAAATTTTCTACTTACACACACCTCACCCCTTATCCCCCCACCTCAAAAAAATGTATACAATGTATCATTATAAAGAAGAATTTGAAAGAAAAATTGCTAAAAGTTAAAAACTTTATCAAATAACGACGATAATTTATAATTTTTAGGAAAAAACATTTTTATGAAAAAAAGTGAAAACCCAAAATTATTTTTATAAAAATCTAAAATAGCCAAAGGCCTACAATAAGTGGACTTAAAGACCTCCAATAAAATTTATGGGGAAAACCCCACCTAATAGCCCCTCTCCCTGGCAACACCTACCCCTGCATAATGAACAGCAATTCATTTAGCCAATTATAATATTATGAATAGATTTTAATAATTTTTTTAATATTTTGTTATTTTATATAATTATCTTTCATAGATTATCAAATAAAATTTTAAAATTCTCTTGAAAATTAATAAATTAAACATCTTTATTAACACAGAATAGTTAATTAGGGCTAATTTTCTATATTATGACCCCTATTGCCTTTTGAATCATTTAATAGACTCCTCAAATTTGATCATGAAAGTCTTTTAGGAACTTCTACTAAGACGGAGGTATGCAGAATCGTCATTGAAATTATATTGTGGTAGATAGTTATGAAGATTCTATCATCATTTGAATAAAATTGGAGAAGGTTAGGGGGGAGGGGTATTTGATTTCTATTTTTTTGCTTGCTAATTTAAAATTGGTGGGAGGAGGTATGTGGTAAAATATAGAAAAGATATAATTTTAGAGCGAGAAAAACTTTAGAGAGAGGGGAGTTGGGTAGAGGGTAAATTTGATGGGTGGTAATGGGTAAAACTTAAGTGGGGTGTTGTCATTTATATAAGCCAATGATATTTATATATGCACTATATAAAAAGAAAATACTCTCGATAAAATAGAACAGATATAATTAACTAATAAATCCATTTTATCATTACCGGTAACTAAACTTAACTTTAAATAAAAAATAATAATTTTTCTCTAAATTAATTATATGTATAATAATTATAGATGAAACGAACTATGCTTTATATTCATTTTAAATATAAGGATTTAATAAAACAAAATAATATTTATAATCAATTACAAACTTTTGATTTTATATTTTCGATTTCGCCTTTTCCACATCAAAAGAAACGAAAGTCATAAAGCCGCAAAAAAAACTTTTTTTCCCCCATTTCGTTGAAAAAAAAAACAATTACATAAACATTATTTAAGAATAATATATATTAATAAAACTTTTTTTAAATCTTGTAATTTTATATAATATATAAAAATATACATAACGTTTTTAGTAACATCAAAAAGTTTAATTATATGATAGATAAAAAAAATGAAATGTTGGAAGAGAAGATAATAATAAAAAAATGATCACATACATATTATTCATTTTGTTTAAAAATATCTGAAATAACTTTTTATATTTTAAAATATTTTCTCATAGATTTTTTTAAAAATCTGTGTAAAAAACATATATTATTTAATTTAAAATAAAATAACCTTACATATAATCCTCCTCACATTTAAATTTAGAGTATTTATTATATTATGATGTTGAGGGATAAATATACTCATTTATGTGTACAAGCTATAAATGTTGAACCTAATTCTCTCAGTGTTATTATTAAACAATAATTTTTTAAAATCTGAAAATTTAATATTTAAATTTTTTTAAAATAATTCCTTCCCTTTTAACTTAGGATTTATCAAGATGAAATTTTACTAACAAAAATGTTTTTATTTTGTATCATCAAAAGAATTTATTTAAAAAAAATTATATTATATTCTATTATTATTACAATTAAAATTAAAATTGTTTTTTAAAGTATCATTTTAATTATAAAAATACAATAAATATTACATAACAATATTAAAGGTTTTTTAATAACATTCGTTTAAATCAATCAAAAATAAATTTCCAAATTATACTTAAAATTATTTATTATATATGGTTTTCTTTCCTGCATAAAAACATCTTGTTAATTTTTAAATTATTATTTTTTTAAATTTATTTAAAAAAACTGAATGATAAATTTAACAAAATAAAAATATATTATATTATTTAATACCAATATAATTAAATGAGTGGTCTAGACTAGAGTCGACTGTCTAATATTTTTAAGATTCTTGCATGTTAGAAAAATAAATCATGGATCTAGACCATTCAGCATTAAAAAGATCTCCAGGCCTATGACAAAATATTGCTATTAGCAGCATATGTTGAAATCAGAAAACATGATAGACTCTTTTTGGTTTCCATATTGTACTTTTGGGGTATGAGAGATTTTTAAAAAAGCCTAGCATATTTCTAACTTTTAAATTTGAATCATGGATAGGTGAAAGATTAAAAAAGGTTATGTCTCGGGTTCGGTTTAGAGGCTTACATTTAAAAAGATACAAGTTTGGTTATGGTTTTAGAAAAATAAAATTTTGAGAGGTTTTGAACACTATAACGAAGTCGGGGACGGGGCTATGCGGCAGGTATTATGCTCTTTTACACTAAAATTTTATTTTAGTTTAGAGGATAAAACTAATTGTATCATTGAGCGACCATTATTCAACTAGATGAATATAAAACCAAAGCTTTCTACCTATTATACTGTGTGTGATATTTATGGTTAAGTAAAAGTAGGTCTTTTTACTAATTACCGACGATCCTAGGTAAAATGGCAAGACAAGACCCTTGGGGGTAGGATGGCAAATATAAAATTCAAAACATAAAACACAAAATTTTTATTATTATAATGAACACCAACTGAGAAATATATATTTTTTAAATTAATCTTCACAATAGGGGCACACAT